CAAACTGATCTTCCATGTAACCTAATTTCCATTCAGATTTGTTTACAGTCTGGTCGGTGTCTGCTCACAGTAACGTATCCCTCTGCCAAGGTCGCGCTTCGGTGGAGAGTATCTCACACACACACACTCTCTCTCTCTCTCTCTCTCTCTCTTATCAGATTGATCCATTCAGACTGAGTTTCCATTCCTCTGCAGACAGTAGCAATGTTTCCATTCAAACTTTTATGATTTGTTTTACATTTTATTCTATTTATATACAAAAAAAATACTGTTGTCAACAAATGTAAAAACCTATAAGCATTATATTTATTATTATAGCCCTTTGTTTTTCATCTGACCTTGACCATGATTTAAATGTGAACTCAATATCCTCTATGTGTCACATGACCTCAGTAACTGTACCTTAAATGAGCAAGTTAACAATTTGGGTTAATACCCAAAGTCTAATACCACTATCGCGTCTGCAAATTAAATATGAAGCTACAGCATAGGCGAAGTCACGTACATCAAGATATCTTTCTTAGACTTATAAATATAAAACCTCCATGTGTTAAAAAAAATTTGAATTATTTGACTTTTCTTGCAGTTCGAGGTAGCTCACCAAGTTATAATGACTGTCTATGGAGAAAATGGAGATTCTATGTTGCAATACCACGAGTGGCCACTGGGGCAAGACTGAGAGGCGTCCCCGTATCACTTATTCTCCGTACCTTTACTCTCTTTCAAAAAATACTGAATTGTCTTCAATTTCTTTCCAATTCCCAATGTCATGTTTACAAACAAGCAGATAACAAACAGAAAAATAAAAAAGTAACAACTTATGAACTTGAAGCTATCAGAAAATTTCCTCTCATACAGTCATGAATAGTGGATTGGGTTTTAAACTGTGTGGCATGAATGCATCATCACTCCTGTGCTACTTTCCAACCAATCAGCTGCTCTGTTACCTGTGTTCCCTGCTGTCCGACTCCTCCTTAATCTTGGAGAGATGTCGAGCTCCCATCCTGCCCTGCAACAAACACACACACACACACACACACACACACCACACGGACACACACACACACACCACACAGACACACAACACACAGAGAGGATAGAGTGTCAGTTAATTACATGTTCTCAGTGGACAAACGGAAGCTGGAAAGTGGCGGACAAAGACAGTTTCCCTCGACGACAGTTACCGTGGTGACAGGAGACATCTGTCAGTCTCCGGGCTGACAGATGACACCACACACAAACACACACTGTGACAACTGAGTAGAGATTAGTTACCTGTATCAGCTTAGGAACGTTACACCTGGTTGTAGTTTAGTCTGGATTGTCAGTTTCCATCAGATCCACAAAGATCCAACCAAGTTTATAAAGAAAGTTTCTGTGTATTTTCTTATTTGACAAATTCATATAAACTTAGATAAACAATATGAAGCTCATCTAGCGCCCCCCACAGACTTTTATGTTAATTACAGCCCTTAACATTAAAAGCAAACTGATAACTTGTGTATTCTTAGAGCAAAAAAAGGAAAATGTTTGTCCTGAAGGTGGCATCAGAATTATCCACAGCAAATTTAATGGAAGGTTTTTTCAATAGTTTAAGAGTTATCTTGGACAGACGACGGTGTGGACCGTTATAGTTTACATTTTTAAACTGGTACGACCTGTTGTCCGACCATATTCGAAATCAAGTTTTGATAGTTTTCCCGAATGGCCACATTGAGTTGAGAAAAGATTCAAACCAATTTCTCACTTTTTCACAGGTAACCAACCACTGAGTGAAATGGGCATGAATGTTTTAGAAACTTACAGAAATATTTGGACCTAGACCCTTCTAATCCGATGTTGGAAACATATGGGGAGGGGGGATTTCCGTAGGTATCCAACCATCCAACAAGCATTTCATATGGCCCATCAGGTATCAGTGTTTTTGATGAGTCACCTCTCACTCAGGGACGTGTGAAGAAAAACACCCACTAATGTGTGATCCTCTTTTTCCAGGTGACCACCAACCAATCCTTCACTGAGTCTCAACTAATCAAAGCGCCACCATGAAAATCATATTTCATGTATAAATTTGGCAAATTTGCCAAACACGTCTCATGTAATTGTTGTTTGTGACCTGAAATCGCAAGTAAGACAGAACATGCCAGGGGTCACTTTTTAATTTTTCTGAATTTTTTCAAAACAATTTAAAGGGAAATGCATTAGGCATTCCAGATAAAAGTGGACAATTTTTATTCTTTACAGTTTTGAAGTTATGTGGTGCAGTGTTTAATACTCACAAGTTGAAAACAGAATGATTCCCTATGCTGAACTTAACTGCCGCAGCATGTTAGCCATTGTACAATTATTCTTTAATTGTTAAAGCACAAGCTTTATCTTAAAATACATCCCCTGATATGTACTTTTTCCTCTGGTATAAATCTTGCATTTAAATCATGACATTATGATATCACCGTCTAAGTAAAGGTGATCCCTTTCAGACCTGAAGCTCATAACGTCAGAGAAAACATTAAACCAGCTCACGAGCTTCAGCTTTCAGGGTAAGGAATTAGGTTGAATACAAGTGTCAGCCATTTATTTAAAATGGCTATACCACTGGTTTTAACCTGTAAAAACATGCAAAACATGCAAAACATGTACAAATACAAATACAAATACCCAGCAAATAATTTGATTGAAATAGTTTTCCATCCTTTCACGGCTGAGTTATATGTGCTTTTTTTAATGTACAAAATTGAAAAGAATCTGACAGTTAAATTTGGTACCAATGTTTATTCAGTTTCTTGATAAAAACATGTAATTAAACCATCAAGAAATTAGATGTTTCTTAATAAAAAAAATCTCCATTCAGTAATATAAAATCAATTCTTGAGCTGCTCACTGTCGTATGAAGTAATATGTATTGCATGCAGGTACTTACATTGTGCTGAGCGTCCATCTCTGTCTGCTGCTCTGTGTATGTTTGTGTTTCCATCCTGCAACTTTACCTTCCTCTCTGCAGCTGATCTGTTTGTCTCTGACACCTAATTAGTTTGGTGTTTCTGCTGCACCTCCTCCACCTGAATTAGTCATCAGTGTGTTTGTGTCAGCTGAAGGACCACACATGAAAAAGAAAAAACAGACCTATCTCCTAAAAACTGCATTCGTATACAACAAATCCTCAGTGATGTCATGCAGAATCTATATCAAGATGGACCTTCTTCTCTGGTGATACAGTTCATTTATGAGAACATTTTGACATTAAAAAAATAGATTCTGAAAGGTAAACAGAGGTGCAAGAAAACAAAAATAAAGACCAAGTCAAGTCAAGTTCAAGTCCTTCTAGCACTGTGGGGACACTGAATTTACACAGAATTATGGGGACACACCACGATTCTGGGGATTAAAGAGTATGTCCCTTTAATTTTTTCGTGTGTACAAGAGTTTTAGGGTTATGGTTAGAATGAAATTTACATTACGCTCAGGGTAAGACACTGGGGAATGAATTTAAATTAAAAAAAAACATTGTTTAGCAAGTTACTTGCAAGTCTCAAGTCTTTGCAATGAAGTCCTGAATCAAGGCCAAGTCGTTAACTTTGTGTTTTGGGTCTTGAGCAAGTAATTATGGAAGTAGGAACAGCAGCTACATCAAGCTAATGTTTCTGCTGTCAACTATTAATGACAGATAGATAAAGTCCCCATAAGGACATTGCTGATTTTTACTGATTTTAAAAGACAGCGTTTGGCTACCAAATCTTGTATCCAAAGATCTTATTACCACCAGAGTTCATGTTTGGAAAGTTACCAATTTAACACTAGCTCTCAGCTAATATCGCCTTAAGCTAGCAAAAGAAGTCACTTCGTTGCTACGTAAAATGATAAATATCAAAATGTTAGAGTCAAATAAAGCATATGACAAAGATATGATGCAATTTTAAATATTTTATTAAACTACCTCACTGTTTATTAGCTTTTTTCACATAAAGCAGAGCAGTCAGGATTCAGTCACATAGAAAATATTCATTTTAACAGCTTCACACACAAACCATATCAATGTTAGTTTTTAACAAGTAACTTTAACACTTTGCTTCAGTCAGACCACTGTTGTTACTGCTGGAGTTTATAGCATTATTTTCTTAACCTGCTCTTTAATTAAATTCGGTGATTACTATCAGAGTTCACACAAGAAAAGCTTAACGTCCATAACTGTGATTTAATTTTCTCAGTCTTAAATTTAAATTAAATTTTGGGCTTCACATTTAGAAACATGGTGTTCAAAATTACAAGTTTAAACGCCAAAATGATGAGATCAAAATTCATGTTTTATCCAGAGAAATCTCATGAAGTTCTCAAAGTTTTCTTAGAGTTCAGAGATTAATCTCAGAATTCATTGTGTTTTTCACACAGATACAATCCTATTCCGTAATAATGAGATATACTGCTTCACAGAAAAAGTCTACAAATGTCAGCAAACTAGCAAATAACTAAAAATCAAGACTAACAAAACTTTCAATTTAATTAATTACATTAATATCAATTATAGTGAATAAAATTAGAGCTCCATTTACTGATTTTTGTACATAATTGTCAATATAGTGAATTTCAATGTGCTGCAAATTAATCTTTGATGTCTTGAATTATTAGAGGTAAACTTTGACCTAATCTTTTCATCAGTTCAGTCTCCATCGTGATGTTGCTCTGTTTGTCTATTGTCTCTACTAGTTTAACACTATCTAATGAAACAGGAAACACATGAGAATAAAATACAGTAAATTGAAGAACATAAAAGGAAATATTGTGTTATCTGATCTGAGCTGAACTTCCACTGAACAATTTTCAAAATGATGTAGTATAGTATATATCACAATAAAAAATGTATTTGCATCTTCAAAATACAACAGCAGAAGTGATGTTCTTCAGTAGCAGTCCGCTTCAGTTTCTCTGATTATCATCTTTGTGAGGACAAAGCAAATATTTCATATATTTACATTTAATATATTCAAATTTAATGTTTACTTTGTCTATGAGTCTGTGCAGTGTCTGTAGAAGTGGAAAATGTAGTCAGTGAAGAGCGCCCCCGAGAAGTGATGGTCAGTACTGCAGTCTGCTTGACCCTGGAGAAAGACATACACTTATATTAATATAGTAAATACTACAAAATAAAGGTTGTTGTGTGTCTGTAGATATAATCAGTAATGTTTCAGGTAAGAGTGGATGAGATAATGTTTCCAAATGCAGCTTAAAAACTCAGTAAACTCAGCTTTATTAGCTAACAAAATGACAGAGTTTGTTTGGCTTTAGCTCCATTGTTTCCAAAATGTGGATTAATACGGCGCTCAAAATAGTCCCCAACAAATGTGCTATTTCCCCCTGTTTGTTCAGTAAAAACTTGTGTCCAGATGTTTGTGGAAATTACTGAGCATTTAAAAAAAAATTAAAAAAATAAAAATTTGTGAACTGTTTTTAAAGATTTCCATCTTCGCTAGGAACCAATGGGCTTCGAGCTGAGAGCAACAAACATGGTGGTGAAGTCAGAGAGTGTTGAGTAAAATTCTCTTGGTTTTGATTTGAGAAAAATATAGAATATCACCAGACCTATCCTTAAGGACTTTTGTAAAAATCTCAGACTCAGTATCAATAATATCAATATCTACTTCAGTCATATGACAGCCTCCTATATAGAAGGAAAAGACAGGAGGAAAGAAAAATAGTTTTCAGCTTCTTACAGCCACTGTGGAGCGGAAGTGATATGAGCTGTGGTAAAGACGAGCCACGTGGAGAGGCCATTCATGTTCTCCCTGTAGAAACAGACAAAGAAACAAACCGATAAGGTCTCATGTCTAACTAAACATACAGTTTTCCACTTAAACTCTGGGATCTTGGCTAGATTTTAAAACAAAGTTCTGTGGGTTTGAACAATATTTGGCTGCACAGCCTGTTTGTTAAGGCTATTTAATTTACATTAAAATCTGTCAGATCAGACACATCCTTGTCAAACTCCCCTTTCCAAACCCATAATACATGGTAGGGCTGCAACTATATTATCTATTAATCCACAGATTCTTGTCTCAATTATTTGTTTGGCCTATAATACGTCGAAAAACATCCATCACACTTTCTTAAGGCCCAAGTGACGCTTTGTCCAAAACATAAAAATATTACATAAGAAAGAGAAAAGCAGCAAATCCCCACAAATGAGAAGTTGGAAATGGAAAATGTTTGGCACTTCTACTTAAAGACATTACATTTAAAGTGTTGTCAAAACTTTTCTATTTATCGACTGATTGTCCTTTTAACTTTACAAATAAAAATCAAGACTGAAACCATAGACATAAAGTTTTAGTGCTGAATTGTTTTTGCTCTCTGGGCAGCTCTGTCCTTTAGAAATATTTGTAAAATCAGAATACAATCTGCACTTTTACAGAAACTGGGACAGACAAAATAGTATTATGGAAAACAGAACAATCAAATTTGCCTTAAAAAAATATCCCTATTATATATGTGTTTTGTCTATGATGCTATTCATTGTATGTACAGTCTGTTAACATGTGGGTCACTGTGTGATTGGTGTCTGTGTCCTGGATTAGTGTGAGCGTGGCTGTGATTAGCATGTTGTCATCCTAATGTGAGGAAAACCCTGCCACACATCCATTATTAATGTTTCCCCACTCTTCCTGCATTATTAACTGTAATGGTAACTGGGTTAGTGGACTGGAACCTCAGTGACTCTCAAACCAACACAGACATATGGACAAACAAAGGTAGAACAGCTACAACAATGATATCAACTTAGGTTTTTGGGGATGTTTTCTAATGACTCCTGCAAAACCCAAGTTCCACCCAAATCCAGCAAAGACCCCAAATTTACCTCTTTTTATACTTCAAATTGATTAAGCATGTGCGTGTGTTTTCCATCATTTTATCAAGCATTAATGTTTAATTTGCTGTTATGAAATCACTGTCAAATTGGAGAATAAGTGGGATGGGAAATTATAAAGCTTTTTTAATGCTAAGTGTTGTCTATCCATGCTAATGACAAAAACAAAATATACAGTATCTATTTTAAATACTTGAGTAAGAGTATGTTTTTCTACAAAACTCTATCATTTAACAACAACATAAGCAAAATGTATATTTTTTTGTCCGACAAAAAAAAAGAAGCTCTGAATTAAATACAGGATAAAATTAATGAAGTTATTTGCTACAAACAAAAATCAGATATCAAAGATATGTGCATGGTTTTGCTTTATACAACCATGTCTAATTAATCAGAAACAGCAAAATGTGTATATACAGTGTCAGTTTACATTACTGGATTACATATTAAATAATCAATCAATCACTGGTCATGTTGATCTGTTTACCTGTGTGTTTAACGGGTATACGCTCCCTGTGACAGTGTTAACATCCAGCAGAGAGGAGCAGGCCGCTGACTCATCGAAGCTACACAGATGGACCACCAGCAGCTCCGTAGAGCTACACAGAAACAAAATACATGGAAACATTTTCATTTACTTTAATATTTTAAGTTTTAGTCTTTACTTAAAACACAATTGATTAGAATCAGTTCTGTTTTACCCAAACTGTTAGCTAGCTCAGGAGCCAGCAGACTCATGTTTACATGCTAACAGAAGTTTCAAAGAGCTATTAGCCAGTGTGCTAATCAGCTGCATTAGAGCTTAAGTGAGAAAAAAAATGGTTTTACTGTGTCTCAGTTACATATATTGTGTATTAATACTATAAACTACATGTTAACAGTGACTACAAGAAATTATAATGTACAGTATTTCAGAAAGTGTGATGAATATTGACGTTAGTTAGCACACCTTGTAAACAAGTGATTCTACTTAGCATTATAGACTCAAAACACAACTAGAAATTGTATGTATGAAGCAGCTGGAACATTTTACTGTTAGCTAGCTACTCTTACATTTAATATATATATATACATATATATATATATATATATATATAACTAAAATTAAAAGAAAAATGAAATAATCCAAGGTCGTAATGGTGATGTTAAATTGTTACATGTTAACCATGGCTCACCTGAAAGCCGATTTATATTGTTTTGCATACTTTTAGGTTTGAGTGGGGGTGTTTAGAGCAGATAATAGTTTGATTGGTCAGTCAACACTTACTTCATGAGCAGGGTAACTCTCATGTTGACTGGGACAAACTGGCTAATGGGAACTCTGTAGGCGTATCTACCAGGCCTGAAGGAGACACAACAAAATGATAAAAAAATGTTTTCAACCCATCGTATCATACTGATAATACAGTAATTATGGTGTAGTTTTTCTGTCTTTCTGTACTTACCCACATTCATCTCTTAGACAATATTTGCTGTCAATCAGCTGCTGGTTCTCTTTGATCCTGAAAGAATGGATGGTGGTGTTTGTCCCTGATAGAGAGGGAGACAGTGAATGATATGGATGTTCCAAAGTTTTCATTAAATTGTTAATTAATTAAAAGACACACTTACAGTCTTTGGCACTTTTCAGCTTGCGATAAAGTTTTTCTTTTCTATTTTCTGAGGAGGAAAAACACACCAAACATTAAGCCAGAAATTAGCAACACAAACTCATGTTATGTCATGTCATGCATAAATTTACTTAACTTAAAGTATTCAATAATGTGTTAACACCAATAAGCACGTGATTACCTGCAATATCAGGCTTTTCTGTTCCACCTGATTCAATGGCGGTGGCATTGAAGTCAGTGCTGCCCTTTGCTGGTGAAGGGCAGCAGTACACCCTGTCACAGTAAAACAGGTCACAGAAGTCAACCTCTGGGGGCCAGGGGCCGGGTGGGCTGGTTGGCCGGACTGGAAAAAAGATTGGGAACATGGAAAAATAATAGTTGTGAAGTAAAAGTTGGAATTTTATCAAATTTATGAGATTAATTTTAGCATTTAATTAATTCTAGTGATTCTTTTATTTTTCAGTACGACCAATATTTACGGGGTGAACAGAAGTTAGCATAAGTGAATGTGAATGAATGAATGAATGAATGAACTCATTCATTATCAGTAGCTATTTTTACTCAGAGGTTATCTAATATTACTTTGGACTCTGGATTTTCCTGGTTATCCATGTACACGGGATACTGAATAATCATTATTCAAATAATCATTATCATATTACCTGTGAGCATGAATGGAACAGCATTTCTTTACATCCTCTATGTCACTATGGCAGTGTAAAAACAAGTCAGTTTTGTGAGGCTGTACTTTACCTGTGCTGGTCCAAGCTGTGGACTGCATAGGAACCACGCTCCCATTACTGACAGACAGAAACACCAATCAGCACAACAACACACAGAACACTGAGGTCATGTAATTAAGTTGTTATCATAAAATTTGAACACGCACCAAGCTAGGAAATAGTTTGATAAAAAGTGTACATTTAAAATTCCAGAATGGAGCAATGATAATATTGTTACTATGTGGTTGCTAAGGAACCTACAGGGTTGGGTGTTACCAGATGGTTGCTAGGGTGTTGCAAGGTGGTTGCGAGGTGACTCTCAGTGGTTATAAAGGGAGCGTTGCTAGATAATTGCAACAAAACTGACTGCCAATGGTTACTAGGATTTTACTAGGTAGTGACTAGGATGTTACTAGATGGTTGTTAGGGGCCTAGTAGCTGAAGTGTTCCTCTACCAATAGTTATTAAGGGTATACTATTGGCACAATGTTACTAGGTGGTTACCAGATGACTACCATTGGTTACAGAAGGAATACGAATGGTAAGATGTTACTAGGTGGTTTTCAGGCAACTGACAGTGGTTGCTAAAATGTTACTAGGTGGAAAAAATAGGGTGTTGCTGAGTGGTTGCCAGGTGACTGTCTGTTGTTACTAGGAAGATACCATGTAGATGTTGTGTAACTGTGTGTTTCTTAACAAGAAACAGGTTTGTTTGTCTAATGGTTGAGTGGTGGCGAAGGTGTTTGTCAGGGGTTGCTAGGAGACTCTTAATGGTTGTAGGGGTGTTACTAGGTTTTCGCTTGGGGATGGTGGTTGCTAAGTGTAATTTGGTGATTGCTGGGCTTTTAGTATGTCTACATAAGTCCTGTGGCTTATTACAGTAAAAACGATGGTTGTTTACCTGTTGTCGGGAAAGCCATTCAAGTCTTCCTCCTTCAAATTTAGCAGGTACAGAACAGTGATAGAGATGATGCTGCAGACACACACACCATAATTGTTTTAAATTAATATTAATCAATGTTTCTCTCTCAATTTGACTTTTTAACTATTTAGTAAAATCAGTAAGTGGCATCAAGCTTCACCAGAAAGCCATGGTGGCCAGCAGGCTGTAGGCGCTGGCCTGGAAGACCCTATGCTGCAGACAGTGGCTGTATTTCTGACTGCAGCCCTCCTTCTGGACTTTCCCAGTCTTACAAGTGTCAGTACTCGGCATTGTCGACACACTGCTGTTTCTTCTGGGTTTCCTATTGGAGAAAACACATAGGACAAGAATTAAAGCTTTTATTTTGAAATCACTTATGGATCCAGTGATATTTTCTATTTGTTTTTTTACTAAAACTAAATTAATGCAGTTAATTCCTATGTGCTTTGTGAAGCGTTTTAACCAAAGATTTATCAGTGAGTAACTTTCAACACTTTTCAAACAGTCTGTGATCTTGAGCACAGTTCAGATCACAACGCCTTTCGACAAGCCACAGGTAAAACTACAGCTCAGCAGGTGACCATTTTGTGTTTTTTGTTTATAACTTTATCCTGTTTTTGTAGTGGAAACGATTTCTGGTCAATTAAAGCCGCTGCGCTTAGGTCACACACAGTAGCCTTCAAAACCTTGGTTGTCCTTGAACTGTGATTTGCATAACACAATAATTCCGCTATTATGCAATACACACACTCACACACACCCTCACACACACACACACACTCTCACACACATACGCACACACACACACACACACACACACACACACACTTTTCATCAGTACTTTTCCATGGCGCTGTATTCTGTGTGGTTGTAATGAGACATTTATGTTCGTTTATAGGTTTCTTTTGTTGGTTTTTAAATATGATGCCAACTCTGCTGCAATACTTAATTGTTATTTTGTCGACACCCGTAGATGTTATATCTATAATAGGGGTGGAAAATGAAAAGATAAGTACTCTGTGGATCGCAGGCTTCCCGTCAGGCTCTTCAGTTTAGCCAATCGGCGGTTCCAGACCTCCAGGTCTTGGATCCGAGTCTCCAGATTGTCGGTGAGCTTCGACAGCTGCTGCACCGCCCCAATGTTCTCCATGAAGATCTGCTCCTGGAGGAGGAAGAGGAAGCAGCCATCAGAGGGAATACAGATTCTAAACAAATTCCTTGATAACTTTAACCAGTAATAAAGATAAACACAACACAGTCCGGGGGCAAGAAGAAAGGAAGAGGACTACCTTGTCTACCATGAGGAAATTAGGAATCCTCTCTCCATCGGAACAGGTGACGTCTCCGACTTCCTTCACCGCTGACGGCAGCAGCTCCTTCACCTCCTGAGCTATTATACCTGAAATATCAACATTATTATTATAATACATTCAAACTAATCACAATTTACACATCATCACACTCACCTGTTGGGATAATAAATGACAGTTACCTGTCTGGTGGGTGTGGTCCATTCCCATGGTGGAGGCAAACTCTGGTTTATAATCGAACTCGACTATTCTCATCTGAGTGATTCTTTTCAGCTGCTGCTCAGAGTCAACCTGAAACAAAGAGATGAGAGAATTTCAGGTAATTAATTGGTAAATTAACTGATAAAGTGCAGAATCAGAAAACTGAATTTGACAAAGAATTTAAAATGAGTAAAATTCAATAATAAAAACTCATCATTTCCTCATAATTTAATTGTCTTACCTCCTGTACGTTTTCTTTGACACGGCAGTCGGATGGCTGCATGATGGCGCCCATCACCTTGGCGTTACCGCACACGACCAGCGCCTCATCAGGGGAATCTGTGTTGATGCCCACCCGACCCTGACAGACCACAGCGTCCTGCACCCCCCCACGCTGCCACAGGGGATCCCCATCTGTCTCAAACTGACCGGGGTTTGAAGCCTGGCGGAAGGAGATGACTATTAGACTCAAAGATCTATGTTTGAAATGAGGGTCGCTGACTTATTGATTTATAGTTGATTGGTTCATAATTGGTGTTGTTACCCTGACAATGATTCTTTCTGACACCAGAGCTGTCAGGAGAAAGGTGTCCTCTCCCACTGCAGCGTATAGACCGACCACCATCTGAAAATACCTGCATACACACACAGATACAGTTAGCATGTAGCCCCTCTCTGACCGGTTCATTCATTTATACGCTATTCATAAAGAATAACCCTTTCTCACATACCTCTGGTCAGGGTTGGGTTTGCCTTTCTTCCTCATATTATTGGCCGTCGTCTCGCTGAAGTGCAGCCGGCCGAGCGTTACCTTTGTGATCTTACCGCTGGGAAGGTTGACCCTGGATGTTCAGAAGTTATTGTTATTTTTCTTTTGTAAATTTACAAGCTTAATTTAAATGTACAAAGTTTGAGCCGGTACAGCTGGTTGCTGGTGCATGCAGGGACTCTTCATCTGTTACCTACCTGACAGGGTGGAAGGGCTTTTTACTGCGGTCGGGCTGGGACTGTTCGATGGTCACCTGGTGGCTTGGAGCTTCCAGCTGTAAGTATATAGGAGGAAACCAAAGGTACCGTGTGCAGTGCAAAAAGTAACTAACAATTTCCTCCTGCTTCTAGTGCCTATGAGAGGTTTGAGAGTCCTGTACTCACCTTGACCCCAAACACTTTTATTAGGAAGTGGTCCACCTGCTGTGACCCGCTGGGTGTCCTGACATATTGTGGCTCTGCAGCCATGCCAATGTGAATGGTGACCTGAAAATGGTTCTTCTTCTGGCAAACGAAAGCCTCGTCAGCTGTGGAATAGTTGAAGCCTTTATCTGTGTCGACGTGGTAGGCAGGAGGAGACCTGGAAACCAAAAACAACCATTCTTGGTGTCCAACACTTTTCATCCAGATATCTCAACAAGTACCGTCCAGATTTAAAATTTAAAACTACAGCTGGTTTCTTTACTCACAGTGTCTGGTAGCTGCTGTCGTACAAAGTGCTCCAGTGTCCCAGCCTATATTGTTCCCAGGTCAGAAGCTGGAAGGATCCCAAATTTAGTCCACCACCACCTACGCCATTCCCTGCACTGCCACCACAAGTCCCATCAGCATCACTGCAGGAAGCATCCATTCCTCCCGCTGGTTCCTCACACTCTGATCTCCTCCTCTTTTTACTTTGCGGGGAGCTGAAGCACGACAAGACAAAAGGATTCAGACCCAATAACTAATTACTGACTGAGTTGCTGTTCTGTGTATTTATGTGATTTAACCAAAGTTAAATCTGCACAAACTTTGTTAATGTGAAAGCTGTTTTTTACATCATTATGGCAGGTGTAGATATGATTCAAAGGCATGTCAGGAGCTGTGATAAATAAGATATAATTTCGGGACAAGAGAGATTATTCTGATTTCCTGGTGAAGAACTACACTACCCTGAGGGTCACCAATGACCCTTTGGTTGCATCTAATGTTTACTCCTATTTGTCATTATTGGACCTTTGCACTAACCTTGATACAGTGGACTTAAAATGAGTGGAGCATCTTGCTCATTCATCTGAAGATGGGTGGGTAGTCATTTCTGAAATAGCTCTACTCTGGATTCCACCTCAGCCACAAAGAGTGATCTCTGGTGCTATTTGTAATGCTTCATCCTCTTCTGCCCATATTGTGGTGTCCCACAAGGCTCAATCGTAGGTCCACTACTGTTTTCTGTTGTCATGCTTCCTCTTAAGGACATTAGTTTCAAATATAATATCAATTTACTTTTTTATGCTTATGATACCCTGTTGTATTTACCAATAGTACCTGGTGACAATTGAAGTCTTGTTCTGCTCATTAAGTGCCTAAATGAGATTACTGTGAGCGTTGGGTGGCCCACAGTTTCTTGCAGCTGATTACTGATTATGTTCAAGCCGAACAATATGCAAAATACATCTGTGAACTCTTGTCCAATTACGAACTGGACGGAAACTCGAGGTCCTCTGGGAAGGGTCTCCTGGCTATTTTTGGATCCAGGTTAGTAGTTAGAGTCAAGGACCAGAGTCCTTGCTATTAAAGTTCCCTTGCTTTGGAGGAGGATCTCAGACTGCTACATCAGTGTCAATGTATAAGTCCCTTCATATCATGTATTTCTTCAGACAGTTACAAAAATATGAAATGGTGAACTAGTAAAGTGACAATGTAAGAGTCTTGCTTACCAGGGGTGTAGCGTTGGGGCGGAGCCCAGCAAACAGGCCGAAGGAGGCGTAGTTAAATGGGGGCCCATGTCTGGGCCAGCACAGGGTGCAACGTAGCTGTTCGTGGGAGGTAAGGGCGGGGAGGGAGGTGTGGGTGGGGTGTAAACCTGTGAGCAGCTCTGTGGACTCAGGTAGTGTATGTGTTCAGGTGAGTGGTGCGTATGCTGGTGCAGGGGAGCAGGTGCAGCAGGTGGGATGGGCGGTGTCCCAGTCTTGATGTAAGTGTTAGTGAGGCCCAAACTGCGGAGCTGATTGTGGGTCAGCAAGTCAGAGTGGGTGTGGGTAGAGCCTCGATCCTTAAAGCTACAGGATGAAGAAGCAGCAGATTGTGTCGCGGGCTGGAAAACCTCCTGGGTGGTCTGCTGGTTGGACCAATATGGCGGCTCGTGATGGAAGTCTGTTAGTTAGAAAATATCATATAAGCAACAGACACACTTTATAAACAACTATTCACTGGGTGTATATGTCATTTATTTTTTATCAGCACCATTGACAAACTCGGTGGTTGAAGATGTGAACAGTACCTGGTATCCGTGCAGGTGAACAGGCCTCCGAGCTCGAGTCAGGAGGAGACTCAGGGAGCATGCTGGGAAAAAAAGAAAAGAAACAAACAAAAGATACGATGCACGGTCTGGTTAGCTGGACACGACTGGACATAAGACAGAGGTGTGAAATACATGGTTAGCCTAGTGTTCACACTGAATGTGATTAATCTCATTGATTACTTGCCATTTGATTTATTCTGATTAACCTTTGATATAATCATCACAAATTTATGTTTTTAGATTTCTGCCTTTTTTCTTGTGATTTTCTTAGTTTGAACCAGTTCCCTTCAGTAAAGACTGATTTGATTTGCTTTCTGTGCTCAGTAATTACAACCTTCGGTTAGCTGATAACCAATTAGGTCAATGCTGTTTTTATGCATGTTATATAACAGTATGTGTGTCAACGAATGAAGATAACAGGAAATTTTCCTCATTACTACTACTATTACTCTTTCTACCTCTCTTACTATTACTTTTATTGCTTCAATTGCTTTTAAAGCTGTAAAACATATTTAATTCAACTCCTGGTTCACCTACTATAACAATCTTTGTGTTGGATATATAAAATAATAATATAATATAAAATCAAATGTTAAAACAAGGATTTGTTTCCAGCAGAGTGAGCTGTTTAAGGTTGTTTCCATAATGTTTCATCTTCTAGTCTGTCTTACTGGATTTGATCAAATTGGATTCGACTGATCAATAACAATAAGGATACAATGCAGGAATTTATGGATTTTAAGGTTCAGGTTAGAATCAGGTTTAGGTTAAGGTCAGGGTAAGAATTGGAGTTAGGTGATGGTTGGGGTGTGTATGTGTGTGTGAATCTTACAAGCTGTTGGGATCCATGTCATTGCTGAGGTACTGCTCCAGGATGCTCGTATCCACAGCGACAGAGCTGTCCAACACACCGCTCACATCCTGACCTGCACATGCACATTTTAAATACTGTTTCTGAATCCGCCAAAATCCACAGGACTCAAATACAGAGGCTTCAGAAAGTATTCAGACTCCTTCACCAAGAAACTCCTCACCAACTCGGACATGTGAAATATGCTCTTGAACCTCCCCATGAACCACAAAACCTCCTCAAGTACCACTCATGTCATCCTTTAGGATCCGTGGAACTACCCGAAGGACCACTTCAGGGATGACATGAACTTTGAAACCACTTGAAGATCTTCCTAAACATCCTTAGGAACATCTTTAATAAACCCACAAAACTCTGCTAGTGCTTCTGCTGATGTATGCTTTTCAAAATAAAAGCAGATTAATGCACTTCTAGCATCTTTTCAAGCATATAAAGTATGTCCTCTGTGATCAGGCGCCAATTCTCTATGTGAATGTACAATATAATATAAAATGTGTAGGAACTGTTCACTGTAAGTGGTAATTCTCTCTCAGATTTTAAAGCTGTGACAAATCACACCATAAAAAGGTATAAACAAGAGTCTGTAGTATAAGATGATGATATGATGTTAAAGACCCTGACGACATGCAACAGCTCACCACTGAAGAACTGCTGCAGCGCCTCGTTCTCTCCCAGGACCTGGAGAGGCAGCCGGCTGACTCCAGGCTCCATGCTGCCCAGCAGGGGGCACTGAGGCTGGGGAGAGTGGAGGGATCAGGAGGGGCCCTGGCTGGAGCAGCTGCTGCAGGGCTGGAGACAGACACTGATGGAATGAACAACAACAGGAACAATTAATAAATTAATAAATACAGAGATGTTTTGAAGACTATTTAATTATAATATTGTTAAAATAACTTATACATAGAATAATTTAAATGAGTAAAACAGGTCTGTTTTCTTTATTTAAATTGTCCTACAGCTGACTGTAGGTGAAACGAGGAAAGAAAACAGGTTTATGATGCTGAATTAGCGTCAAATCTGATACTGATACAAAGTTCAAGGTCAAAACCACCGACTACACACAGGAAAGAAAGCTTAACTCAAAACCTCCTAGCCACACAAAGATATGTTATTTATTTGGGTCGTTTTAATTTCCTAGAAAGAAGTCATTTGGTTGTAATGGAGACACTGTTTACTTTCTATTAATTCCAGTTAACTTGCCTTTGTGCAGGTTGAAGGCAAACAAACAATTCAGTACTAAACAAATATAGAGAATAACATTTCCTACAGATGCATTTAAATGAATCTAGAAATCAACAACTGCTCACAGACTCTATGTGCTAATGCTCTATGTAATGTCTCAGAAATGTGTTTTTGTGTCCTGCAAACCTCCCTAGGAAGTCATTAAGAAACTACAGAGGCTTTAAAATTACATGTCACCTACATTTGAAAAAGAAATATTCTGAATTCATTCATTCGTGCTTGTGAATAACAAAAGCAGGCATGTTACATTTAATCTGAGTAATATAAAACCAGGGTCACATGATCTCTTGGGGAAACCAAATATGTCATAAGATAAAAAAATATAAAATCAAATAGACTCAAGACATCGTTCACCTCTGGCAGCATGTTTAGCCCACAAGTTGTTCTCCCCACCGTGTTTGTACGATTGGATTCAAACTGTTCGAAAAATCAGCACACATTAAATAAAAAGCAAACAAAAATGATGCCCTTTGCATTGACACTCCCTTTGCAAATTACTGAAATTCTGGAATTTATAACTATTGTGCAACAAGTTACTGTAGCCATTTCCACAGTGAACAGATGTTACTGGTCTTTTCACGGCAGACATTTTGACTTGTTCAGCCCTGGACTTATCGGCTAATCGGACTGGCCTACACCGCCAATGGCGCAAACAGAGACTGATGAGGCCGGTGAAACCTCTAAAACTTCACCGGTCACAGTGAAGGGTGAGTCCGACTATGGTGGAGAGACCTCAGAGAGTTTAAAGGCATGAAGACGGAGGCAGAGGTTGCCGCTCAACAGGTGGGTAACGTTCCCCAGAGCCAGGAAGTCAGTATTGTTTTGTCCTGTTTGCTCATGTTTGTGAAAACTAACCCCAACTGGTTAGTGAGCAAGCAAGTCGCATTTGTATGTACGATAATGTTAAATCACTGTTACGCTGTCTGTAGCTCGTCTGTATGTTAGCTTAGCAACAGCAGCTGTAGCAACAGTTGGCTATTTTCGTCATTTGCTCTGTATCACGGTATTTATCCGAACAACGTGTGAAGGCTTTTAAAGCCACAAAGACAAGTTAGCTAGCACAGTGGATTTATTCGGTTGGATGTATAATTTTAAAATGCTATGCTATATTACACTACCTTCCTCGTTAGCTTAGCAACAAACCTACGGTCCTCTCTTCTGTCACAAAAAACAAATTTAACAACGCGCTAGCTTTATAAGCCTGAAAAGTAAAATTAGACATTTTCAGTTGAATTAACTTGAAACTTACCCATTTAGATTAAGTTAAAGAAAAGATCAGTTTATTCCACCTCACTCCTGCATGTTGTTTAAAGTGCATAGGTGTCACTAATAACATTAATAATGAAACTGAAGCAGCTAAATGGAATTCAACCATCATTCATTTCAGTTTTTACACCTGTGCTTTTCCTCCAGAGACACGTCAACTCATAGAGGAACATCAGAGAAAAACACATTTAAATATTATTTTGAATTAAGTTTTGCTGTTTTTCTTCATTGTTTCTTGATAATCCACCTGTAAACACCTGAACTAAAACACGTCTGATGAAATAAACACTTTGTTTCTGACACTCAGGATCTGATTTGTGCAGAAACAGCAGCTCAGACCTGCTCAACACAAACAGCAGCAGGCATGTTTGTCCAAACTCACCTGTGCGTCTCTCCAAGATGGCCACCGGTCAGTCGATCAGCAGTGATTTATGTGATTTACACGAGCAGCTCGTCCTCAGGTATAATCCATCTGTGAGGGAGAGTCAGATTTTAGATCCCAACAGTTTCTCCGAATATGTCCGATTGTTCTTCTTCTTCGTTTTAAAGCTTCAAATGAGAGAATTATTTCCTTTTAGCTAAATCTTCTTCTTCTTCTTGTTTGTGGCGTCCGTGGATTGTCTCTGTCTGTCCCCTGGACTTTGAGCTTTGAACAGGAAAAGGCGAAAGACATTCACACACCTGACACAAGCATATAACACACCTGTGTGTGTGGGGTGAAGCCATAAACCAGGCTGTCATCATACTGGAAGTGCACACACACACACACACACACACACACACACACACACACTCTCATTTCTACAACACATCCCCCAGCCACTAAACCTGATCTTAACCTATCCCTAACTTTAAACAGCGGCACAGGAAACAACGCACAGACAGTGGGAGGAACAGATTCCACTGAATATCAGCAAATGTCACCTGAAACATGCTGTGTGCAGGACGGCCGGGAAAAAGTCAAAGTAGCTCAGATTTCCTACATCAAGAATATAAAAATCTCTGCTAGTAACAGAAACATAAACAATTGAATAAAGACTGCAGAGGTTGGATTCACCTCAAAAATACAGAATATAACTCTTGCACACAACTGCCTTTGATGAGTCAATCCAGCAGTTACTCCGTTTCATTTAAAGATAAATGAAATGATTCCCGAGGGTATAACAGCTCAATGAATGTAAATGTAATTACAGCTGCAACAAGACAGCACTCAGGTCATCTAATTTAGTCCTGAGGGGAAATTTGATTTAAATGTAATCATGTGTTTATTTTCTGTTTATCCACGGCCTAATCTTTTCCCTTTTTTCCTCTCACTGTGAAGCATGTCATGAAGTCCTCAGCCAGCAGGTGGCAGTACAGGCTTCAGTTCCGTTTCTTCATTGACTTGAATGGTAGAAACCTGTTGCTGCCAAATGCAGAATAATAAATTAAAATATAAGTAAAACGAGATAAATACATAAATATGCTAATCCAGTAAGAATTGGTTTTGTAAAAACAACAGTATTAAATAAAATAAAACTCCCACTTGGTGAATGTGAGTCTCCGTCTGTCCAGTAGATGGTGCAACATGACAGGAGTCCTCTCTTCTGTCCTTGTCCTCATTTGCCCCTCATGGGTGATTTGGGCCCTGACTGGACATATACAATCAATGACACTTTGATAATAGAAATGTTGCTCATTTCCACTTCCAGCAGTTACAGAGTGTGTTGTGGTGTTTAAGTCCAGTGTCTTTTAGCTCAGTGTTTGGTCTCCACCTGCTCCTGAGGGAAATGTCCGACTCTTTAGCTGCTAAACGCTCCAGCATGTTGACCAGCTTCTCTCTGTTTGACTTTGAGGACAGTGGCTCTTTCTGTTACAGCTGTTTCTCTGAAAACAGCTGCTGCGGTGAGAGTGAACCAGAAAAGTAAAGTTGTGTCCAAACAGATAAACAATGAGCTGAAAGTCCTAACCTGCTTAATGCACAGTCTAAAAAATCGCAAACTTAAAAACGAATAATGGAAACACGCGAATTTCAAAACAATTCTCAAATTCCACAAAAAAGTTTATACGCTTGCATCAGGTGGTTTTTTAAGACTATTCCACAAATTCCACAAATATTTTGTAAGAAAAGTGCATTTAATTGGTGGCGTCTGCCATTTCCAGCTGTTCTGACTGAGAGGCTGCAAATCCACTGTGATGCTTAATTGGAACAATATCACACAGGGAAAAAACCCTCTTTAATTGCATAACATCACTCAATGGAAACACAAAACATTAGCAACTGTGTTTTGTCGACTTTTTCGAAAAGAATCTTATGTTGCACAAAACTGCGATGGAAACCCGACTATGTTAAAGCTCTGTGAAGCCGAGGGGAACTGCAGGTTCAGCTGATAATTCTCTGAAGGTTCATCCCTTGTCATTGTCATTTGATATGTTTTTATAAAAATATCCACTATAGCAGCTTTAAAAAAAAAAAAGACCCTTTGACATTTTACTGCTTTTGGCACCAAAAAAAAAAAAAAGAACATGCTCCAAACTAAACAATAAAATAAGTCATCTGTCACTGCCTCACAAAGCAGTCAGAAAAATGATTCACATGACAGTTTCCTGACGCTGCTACAGTTTAAGTCTGGTTAGGTTTTCACACAAGAAGTACTCGGTCAGTGTCGGGGGAAATATTACGGCCACGGTTAAAAGAAACCGCCGTCGACTGTTGGTGAGAGACTAAATGCCAGCAGCGGTCTGCTGTGGCCTTGTTGACCCGGTCATCGACCTTGATCTCCTTTCTACTCACTTTAAGTCCAACACAATAAGAAAAAATGCATTTAATATTTCTCCACCAGAATTTAATTCCTGGCAGTGCGTAGAAAGCTTTGAAACAGCTTGTATATTTTTATGTTGGGAAATGAGCAGTAATGCTTCATTTTACGAGCCCATAAAACTACTAACAATTTTCTAGGAAGTTCTTGGAAAGAACTTTGTAATCTGGTACAAATTATGAGAGAAAGAGAATGTTATTGTAGCCGGTCAGTTTATAAAGACGATGTTGATTTACAGATGAGTTTCTTAAAACATCTGCTACATTTGAAATTAAAACTTGCAGAAAGTTTAATTGAACAGGTCACTCTAGAAATAAAATAATTACATGTCTGAGAGCTGAATCCTGGCCACGGTGTCATATGCCAGGAAAACAAAACATAGATTGTTTAAGGAATTTTAATAAA